AATAAAATTTTAGATTTTTGTGGATTAATAAGTAGATTGTGATCTAAAGAGTATTTAATTAATTTATTAACATCGTTTTGTAAAATTTGAGTAGTATTATTGGCATTATCTCGGTTAAAATAATGAAGCAATTGCGTATCGTCTGCAAATGACTGGACATGAGAATTATCAATACTTTTGCTTAAGTCGAACGTATATATGAGGAACAGAAGCGGCCCCAATACAAAGCCCTGAGGTACGCCTGAGGGAATTATTGTCACTTGAGACATTTCTTGATTGAGAAAATACACTGAGTTCTTTGATGAAGGAAAAATGAAAGGGATGCACTGTCAAGACCTATGTAATTTAATTTAGCAAGTAATAATTTATGATTGATGCTGTCAAAGGCTTTCGAATAGTCTATAGAGATTAAGGCTAGTGCCATTTTCTTATCTAAGGCACTTAAAATATTGTCTTGCAGATTAAGTAGGGCAGATGTTGTACTATAATTTTTTCTAAATCCGGATTGAGTGTCGGGAAGTATAAAGAATTTTTCTAGGTAAGCGGTCAATTGGAACTTTATAATTTTTTCTAAAATTTTGGATAAAATTGGTAATAAACTGATAGGTCTGAGATCATTATACTCAGTGTGTTTCATTTTTTTAGGAATTGGAATAATTAGAGCTTGTTTCCATGTGTTTGGAAAGTAGCCTTTTCCAAACAGTCGTTGAAGATGTGGACGATGTGATGGAGAATAACTGGCAGGCAAAGCTGGATCATTGACAGGTTTATACCATCAATTCCCTCCGCATCAGATTTTAGGCTCCCTATTGCCTGTAATACGTCATTTGAACTAATCTTATTCAATGAAAAAATATATTCAGAGCTTAATTTATTTTTGAAATAGTTTTCGCAAACTAGTGAATCAACAGGTTTATAGCTATAAACAGACATAAAATAATCATTAATTTTGGTAGGGTCATTAAAACTTGCTGGAAGGGTTGGTTTACTACGAAAATTTATATCAAGTTGTTTGACAGATTTTTTTTTAATCATTTTCATTTGCCAAGTTTTCGATATATCTCTGTTTGTCCCTCCTGATCATGTTAAGAGCACGGTTTCTAAGCGATTTGAAACTATTATAGGCGTCCTCGATCTTATTAGTTTTATATAAAGCTTGTGCAGTATTCTTTTCATCAAGAACAGTGCGCAGTTCATTTGTTAACCAAGGTGATGGTGGCTTATTAACTGTTACAGTTTTAAAAGGTGCATGTTTATTATAGGTTTCCACGATAACGCTTGTAATGTGCATTACCTTCTCATCAATATTAGATTTCATAAATAATTCATCTATGCCTGATGTAGAAAGATCGATAAGAAAATCATCCTCACTGAAATGTTTAAAATCCCTGATTGTGATAAATTTTTGTTTTCTTTTATAAGATGGAATGTCAAAATGAAAAATACGAGTTTGTGGTCCGAAATACCATTCGTGTCCATGACGGAAGAATAGCTGCATATTTGAGGATTATTTAAAAATATTGGATCGATTAATGTTGCAGTACTATCTGTGACACGGGTGGCTTCCGTTACGATTTGTGTGAACCCCATCAGCTCAAAACTGAGTGAGAATATATTGTTATTAAAAAATTCATATTCAGATCTCCAAATATCACGATGTTATGATAATATAACGAGAGGATTGAACAACAAAAACTGCGGGAGTTGAGCTACTGAAAAATGCAGTTAATTTTATGAGCTTGTGTGTGTCAGAGAAATACGGAAATTCCGCGAGTTCAATTATTGAACTGTGAGAAATGTGGGAGAAGTTTGGGAGTTGAAAGTCTACCTCTAACAAAAGTCCAGCTAGGGATTCATCAAATTAAGTAGCTCGATATTATTAGAAACTACTTGACTTGAAAATAAAGTAACATGAAACGTTAATGCTTGACTTGAAGCATTTTCAAACTACTAGATACTTGATGGTAAATTACACTTTTCTGCATGCATAACTTTTCCGCATGCTTCGCGTTCTTTGTGCAACTGCCGTCGCGTGCCGAAAAGTATCACTTTCCGCACTTGTTAGGTAAATAACTATTTTGTTGTACAAAGGCCTTCGTGATATTTATTTGTACAACCGATGAACGGTTTTTTTTGTATCTTAACACAAATAATCACGAGGGATGGAAACGGCATGAAAATGAATCCCCAACACTAGGTATGTAGTTTTAATGGCAAGATATTTTTATCGACACCTGCAAGATCAGCGGTCCATTGACAGGGCTTTTTTCCAAATTTTTCATTTATTTGTATCAGTTGATGAAATGTTTTTTTTCTATTTAAGTTGACAATATAATCGTTATTTTATTTGTTATACGATGAACAAAATATGTTGGCCAATATGTATTATCTTCTCTGTAACTTGTCACAAAGTCTTTCCGTTTTGTATTTACAATCTACTCGTATCTATATTACAAAAATTATCAAGTAATAACAAGACTACTTAAATTTTTACGCACTTGACGAAGAAACAACTTGATCTCCATGCTAGTATCTAATACTCAACTTGAGCTTGAGTTTATTTCAAGTCAAGTTAAGTAGCTTAAAAATCAAGTCAAGTAGTGAATCTCTCTCCAGTACTGACCTAGTAGGACGGATGAACTCTAATCTGCAGCATACACTAGAATTAACTGCTACCAGGTTACCCCAGGTGTATGAACAAATGTAAGTGACCTGATATACTGGACAGCCGCGCGACAGCAATGTGTAGGGCACAATCTCCGTAAAGAACAACCCAGAAGTAAATTTGTTCCGTAAGACCGTTCACATTGTTCCGCCTTAAGAGGTGGAAATATTTTTCTGAGGTGAAAATATTTTTCTAAATTTTAAGGGCAAATGTACGGGGAAACCTATAATATTCGAAATACCTGTATCTCTAATAGACGCGTAGAATTACGGGGTTGGAAGTGTGTTTTTGCCATTTCAATCCTTATAAATTACAAAGATTTTTCGTCCTTGGCATAGTAGTGAGCTTGTGTGGAAATTTCTTCAGAAAATGAATGAAGAAAACTGAATTATAATAAGAGTAGACTGCAAATAAGAATAATAATGAACGTAATTGATGACTTGAAAGAAAGAAAAGGCTTAGACAAAATTGAAAAGAATAAATGCTAATATTTACTGTATACTTTCATATTCAATTAATACTTGCATTAATAAAGAAGTATTCCCATCTCATTGGAGAGCAGCTGTAATTAAACCGCGATTGAAATCTGGAAAAAAAGAAAAACTGGACCAAGTTCCTTATTAAGCATTTCCTCCAAAATATTTGAAAAAGTATTAAAAAGAGGTTTTTGGATTTCACTAAAAAATATAACATTATATTAGCCCAACAATACGGTTTTCAGGAAAGAAAATCAACAGAAAATGCGATTATGCAACTAGCTAATAAAATATATGAATACATGGTTATAAATATACCAACTGCTTGCATATTTGTTGATCTTGCCAAGTCATTCGATACCATCAGCCACAAATCTCTTCAGGTCACCCTAGACAACTTAGGGTTCCGAGGTACAACATATTAACTCGTGGAAAGTTAATTATCAAATAGAAATCAGGGTGTTTATTTTAATAAACAGTGCTTTAAGCGAACAGCAGATAGTGACTTATGGGGTACCCCAAGGTACAGTGTTAGGCTCTTTGCTCTTCAATTTAAATATCAACGATGTCTTCAGTTTACACTGTTGGCGAAATTATCGGTTTCGCTGACGACACAACAGTCATCTATACAAGTAATAAAAACTGAAATTGAAACAATTGAAAACAATAGTTATGAATTTTTTTCGGACAGAACTATGACTGTAAATTATGAAAAAATATTCTTCATTGTATTTTCTCTTGTGATGAAAGACTATCTCCAAATTACAGTAAACCCAAATTTCAAATAAATTATGATCATAAAGAAATCCATTTAGTCTACATACTTAGGTTTAATACTAGACAGAAATTTAAAGTGGAATGCACACACAAGGGTCCTAGTGAAAGGACTACCCCAAAATTCAAGAATTTTCGTGATTTTTTTTTAACAAAGATTATCTATATATTCTCTACCACGATCTTGTCTACTCTATTCTATCATATGATTTACTAGCATGGGAAGGCCTGAACAATTGCTATTAAAATAGCACAAAACTTGATACTAAGACTGATCCTTCAAGAGGAGATTACATATCCAACCGATAATCTTACTTAGAAGTTAAGCTCCTAGACGTTCGACAAATCTGCTTTTACAATCGATTGATGCGCCACAATAAAAATAAGATGCATCTAAATCCTATCAAACAAGACTCAAACAAAATCCAGAATCTATGCGAAAATCTATAAGAATCATCGTTCAAAGATTCCTTCTCTTTAAGGCCCAAAATATTCTGGCAAAGATTATTAGAACCTCGAAGTCATGGATTATACAGGAACCAAGGAACTCAATGCATAAACTTAGTCATAGGTGTATTTATATAAAAAATTTAGCCGAATCTTACACCTAGAGAAATATAAATTTTGTACATTAAAATACCTGCATTATTTAACGTTTGTGTAGTTACCTATTTGTATTTTTTGTATTTTTTTTTTGTGAAGCCATGCACATGTACGTTATTCCAATGAACATTACCTATATTTTCAATACTGGCTTCCAACTCAAGAATTTTAAAAAACAAATTTTGAAATTAAACTAAAAAAATGTAATCCAGAAAAAAGCACATCTGAATACTTTCCTGGAAACCCCTTTTTGAGCAGCAAACGACAGGACTAATATGGAAAAATTATTACTGCGACTTTAAAATGTCATCTGCATTGAATGCTCTCCATAACGTAATCGGAAGTTCCCGAACGGTCTGATGTCATTACAGTTTAGGAATCACTGGATTCGATTGAAAAAAAACGTAGCATCCGCCCTACCAGAACAGATCCGGTGAACTATAAAAGCCACTTCGCGGCGCCCATCCTCCAAAAGTCCTGCCCAAAAAATCGTGGGAACCGCTGGAGATGGACCAGCCGTTTCTGTACTCGCGATATAGCGACTTGCAGCGTGCCGATAACCTGTTCGTGCTCGAGGAGTACTTGCGGCTGTTAAGATGGGACTCCTCGCCAGGGGTTGGTCGTGGTGGTCCATACGCGGTGCTGGACATCGGTGTTGGAGATGGACGTTTCGCCGTAGAGGTCCTGGTGCCCAGGCTACCCGGGAAGTGCGAAAGATTCGTGGGGGTTGATAGTTCAGAGGTTATGGTCAAGTTTGCTAATCAGCATTACAAGTAAGTTGATCATTAGACTTATTGTCTTTACCAAAATTAAAATCTGTCCAAGAACAAACCATGAAATGCAAAAACTCAAAAGTTCTGCAAGAAATTAACACATAATACTGTATGTGAGACAAGCACTCAGCGCTGTTTGGCTTACATGAAAATTAAATGTCAACTGATTATCAAAATAGACACCTAAATCTCTAATGCAATCGGTTCTTCCTAGTGTCGAATTCTCAATAGTATACCGATAAGATGAACTTGCGACTGAATGTTACTACTTTGCTTTCAAATGCAGATTATTTCTTACACACCAGTTCTGTTGGAAAGTGATTTGTTCCTGTAAGATGATACAGTCTTCTTCACTGGATACTGATATATATATATATATATATATATATATATATTTAAATCATCCGAAAACAATAGCTTATTACAATTAAGTGAATCACACAAATCATTGATGTAAAGTGAGAATAAGAAGAGGTCCCAAATTGGATCCCTGCGGTACACCGCTAGTCGCAGTGAATACTTCCGATCTCACATTATTTACACATACATATTGTTGTTTATTAGATAAATATGATTTCAATAGCAAGAAATAATTATTTTTTAAACCTGGATAACAAAGTTTCTTGAGGAGAATCGCATGACTGAGCTTTGGAAATGACGGCATACATTACATCAACTTAACTCCTGCTGTCAACTGTTTCACATAGAAACTGGCTAAAAACCGCTAAGTTGCTAATATTTGACCGAAATTTCGTGAAACCGCGTTGATAAATAGAAATTTTTTGCAGACTGGTAGATACGATCATATAAAATCATTTCAAGAAGCTTAGCAAAATTGTTCAAAATGGATATTCCCCTGTAGTGATGATATTGGAATTTTGAATATAATGCATATTTTAGCAATTTTAAACTTGTCAGGAAAAATGGAAGTATTCAGGATCAAATTAAACAATACTTGAAGTGGCCTTGCTAGTACTGCTATGCAGTCTTCAAGAAAGAAAGATCTGGCCCAGAAGTGAACTTGTTTTTTAATTTTCGTCCAACTTTTAGAATTTCGCGCTCAGTTATCGCTACGCAGGTAAAATCGAACATCCTTGTAAGTCAAAACTAAGTTATTCAACCATAATATCAGGTACAGAGTAAACACTCTCAAAAAACTCAGCGAAAGCATTACTGATATTTTTAGGATCATTGAACATTTCATTTCCATCAGACATTTGCATCCCCAAAAAGTAGCCAAAAGCCTGATCTAGGTACATATTTGTCAGAATCTCTACGATTTGCATAGGCAACCAAATACTCGAGCGAGTTCAAACTTGTACTGAAGGCGGATCACATGTTCCCCTGACCCCTCCTCCCAAGCCCGGCACCTTCACTGCTAGATTGAACGCTACCTTGCTAGTCTCATCATTTAATTTACAGACCTCGTAAGATTCCACTGTGGCTCAAGTCTGCCCATCATTAAATTTCCCTTTTGCACTACCTCTTCTAATTCATGTGAGTTATGTCTTCCTTTAATACCTTTTCAAGTGCATGTGAGACAAAACACCGGGATGTCTTTTATGTGAACGGTCCTTGATCCAGAAGAGTGGAGGTAGACAAACAATACCAATATAAATACGGTGAGGTTCAAATTTGCCTGACGTCATAATGTGTACGAGAGAGAAGCGCGAGAAGCGTGAAATGTTAATGTTACACATTCGTCGTCCATAGTATTTGGTTCTCACTTCCGTCATGCCTCTATTTTTCAGGTTTGCTAGTTGGACACATCAGGGTTCTTGTTTTACATCACAAATTCGTCGTATCCTGTACATCTAGGTCGGTATGACCGCTATTCCATTCGGACCGTATTATTTTACCAAATGAAGCTTTCCCGGTCCTAAAGTCTATGCATACCTCATTTGCAAAAATAACATAAGCGCTCGATCGCTACTTCTATTCGCTTTGCACAGCCTGGCCAGGCATTTGTGGCCCGCTGGCCAATAAGAGCTTGCGAATTTGAAACTGACGCGTTTATTTATTAAGAGCAGTTCAGAACTCATAGTAACAAGCTATCCTTCTCATTTATGGTAATTGCTCCACTATTTGGAGAACCCTCTTGTCTGTTTTCCACGTGCTTTTCATCTTCTACTGAAGGATGGATGTTTTTGTTTACTTTCAGAGTGGCTAACTACTCCTTTTTAAGCTACAAATATGAAGTTTCTGTTCTTGGCACTCCTGCATGGAAGAAAAGATACACATAATGCAACCATTTTGTCGATGGCCTCGTATTACTGCATTGTACTTAGCATACTGAAAATGTAGACATAGACAATATATTTGATATTGTTTTTGATAGGTCCCGCCATATGGAGTTCGTGCAGTTGGATATCGCGTCCGACACTGTGGACCCATCATTAGAACGCAGTTTCGATCATGTGTTTTCGTTCTACACCTTACATTGGGTTAGGAGACAAAGGTATGATCGTCTTTTTATTAAAATTTCTTAAGTCAGAAAAATAGTAGTAGAAATGCATGATAAAGATTATAAAAAAAGTTGAACCAGGCAATGGACTACATTCTCTCGACGCTTTTTGTAGGCTTTTCAAATAATTGCGTCAAGTAGGTTGACTCTGCACTTCCTTCGCAGCGCCGTAACCAGCTCATAGATGATTAAGCGTAGCGCAATTCAAATACCCAGTTACTACATCAGCAGTGAAGTTAAGTGGATCAAGTCATACAAACAGGCCCACTCAATTAATCCATAGACCCCTGATCTACCGGTAGTAACTGCAGTACGGAAAGATTAGTCAGCCGGAGCGGTGCGTCATGCGGTGACCTTTCATAGCAGGAGTACGCGGAATGAAAACGTGCCTCTCTCATTCTAAGTTTTGAACACAAATATACGGGAAATCTATGATATGTAAAATATGGCTTGTAGGTTCATATAATTGAAATTTTTCATATACCCTCTTCTGCCCTTCACAGCCTCAACCCCTACATGTCAACCCCTACAAATTTGTGTCTGAAAATGATCAGGAGCCTCGAATTTTATGCTTTTCATGTTTTTGCCTCTAGCCTTGCCGTCTCTGGACCGATATCCAAAAACTGCAGAGCTTTTTTGCCCATGTCATATTAGTGACCTTGTGTGGAAATCTCATCCAAATCCGAGCAGTAATTCCCTATTATTTTTATTCAGTTTAATCGTGCATTCATTACGGACCATATAGCGCTAATTGATTGCTCTTTTGTAGACAAGCTTTCCAGAACATTTACAAGCTTTTAAAACCAGGAGGTGATGCTTTACTTGCATTTCTGGCAACCAATCCTATCTACGACATACATCAAATAATGGCGAGCAATGAAAAATGGAAGCATTATATGAAAACCGATTACATAGCGCCCTACCATAAGAAGAAGCATCCTGAAAAGCAACTCGAGAGGATCTTGAAGCAAGTTGGTTTTACGAAGTACATGTGCAGACTTGAAAATAGATCACATCAGTTTCATGGAGTTGATGTACTAAGAAGTAAGTTTTTATGTAATTTGTCTGATGTAACTCCTGAAACTTATACTGTGGTTGCTTCGCTTATTGATCTGAATTGAATAAAACTAAGTATGTAGAAGCCAGGTCAAGATGTTAACCCACGTTAGTGGCCAGGGCTGGATAATGTTGATTTAATTGCAAATAAGTGAAAACTATTATGATATTCACAGTAACGAAAAAACTCATTAGAATAACCAGGACCAAACAAATATTATTAAATTCCGAAACCTGGAGTAGACGTTAAAGTTATTAATTTTCTAAATCTCAGCAATACATCTCGGTAACCATGACATACCTTGCTGATTCATGCTTTTTAGCAATCATCAATACGGTATAGGTCTAGTCGTGGGAGACAGACCTGGTTGGCGGTGAGAGCAGCTATTATTAAATGGAAAGCAAGCGAGTATAGTCTACTAGAAAATTCAGTATGTTGTTCGCAAAGAGATTACAATTCTCACAATTGCTACCTACAAATGGATCGCCAAAATCTTCAGACCATACGCTCAAATCAAGGAATATACCCCTTTGTTTGCTTTCCGTTTGCACAGATGGAAGGCAAACAAATTCAATTCAGCCTGTATCTATGCCATTGCTAGTAGCTCTCCGCATGATTGGTGGGTCGTCCTTTTAATGATGGTGAGCGACATCTATCTGCATATAGTACATTAACTGCCTCCCAGTATAAGCCAGTGGCGTGGCAAAATTACTGTTATTTTCAGTGTATGGGCTGAAGATGTATCTAGCTTTGGCGAATCATCTGTAGGGGAATGACATTAACGTTTTCCACAAATCAGTGGCATATTCCATCAGATTTTAACATACCTATTGTAGCAACATACCGGTTAATTGTAATGCAATATTTGGCTACTGATGCTGGATCTGCATTTTTTATAGATATGGGTTCTGGGTGGGATTTTCGCATTCTCGGGGGCGTTTAGTGATTTCTGAATTAAGGGACGAGGGTGACGTATCTGGTACATTAAAAGAACGGGTACGGAAATGCCTACCCCAGGTCTAACACAGCTTGATTAGCGACTGGCAGTATGGTTTCCGGCACCAACGATCCACAGGGGACCTTCTAGCTTACGTCACGCAATTATAGAGTAAACTCCTTCAGCCTTATGGTAAGGCTCATGTCGTTGCTCTTGACATCACGAAAGCGTTCAATCAGCTGTGGCACGTTGCCCTCTTAAGCAAACTTATATCCTATGGCCTCCCAGAAAAGCTTTGCAGATGGATGACTGACTTTATCTCTGGTCGCAACATATCCGTCGTAATTGACGGGTTCTCCTCTTCATCCCACAACGTCAACGCGGGTGTTCTCCAGGGATCGGTCTTGGCTCCAACACTGTTTTTCTTACATATCAACGACCTCCTTTCCTGCACGATCAACCCAATCTACAGCTTCTGATGACAGCACTCTACATGCAGGAATCCAGAGCGACAAGCCGATCTCTGCCGTTGAGCTGGAAAAAAGAAGACTAGCGATGACTATGTCTCTGACGAGAGACCTGGAGGTTATCACCTCTTGGGGATGCAACAATCTTCCAAAACACAGTACTGTACCTTGTCGAACAAAAAGCATCCTAGTGCTTATCCGGTTTCGATGGATGGCCGAGTTCTGCCAAAGAGCCATTCATTTCGGCTAGTCGGCGTCCAGATCACCGAGGACCTGATCTGGCACGAACACGTCTCGTCAATAGCGGCAGCTGCTGGGAAAAAGCTAGGCTATTTGTTTAGGGCTAAGGAGTACTTCTCTCCACATGACCTTCTCACTCTATACAAGGTCCAGAGACGGTCTAGCCTCGAGTAATGCTCACACGTTTGGGTTGCTGCCGCCCCGACTACATTATTTATGCTTGATGCTGTCCAGAGGAGGGCTGTCCGACTGATCGATGACTCTTCTCTAACAGACGGTCTCGGGACCCTTTTACACCGGCGGGCCGTCGTCGATCTAGCTCTCTTCTACCGCTACACCAACGGGCTTTGCCCCTCAGAGCTCTCTTCCATGATGCCGCCGCGCTAAGTGCCAGACAGACCCGCCTGACTTTGGCCTCCCATCCTAACCGTGTCGAACTTCGTATATACAGAACTGGCCGATACGACCCCTCCTTTCTCCTGAGGGTGTCGGGATTGTGGAACAATCTACAAGAGGATGGTTTTCCCAGTTCTACTAACATTAGACAGTTTAAAAATCGGATTTAGAAAATTTCATACGCGGACGCAGCTAGAGAGGCAACCTTGCCTGCCCCCTCTGTCCAACCTCCTTGAGCACACAAAATGTGGACCTGGCAACCGCGCTAAGGTCCTTGCAAGAAATAATAAACCCACTGCTTAGCGCTACCCAGGCGTTGCAGGCGATATTTCCTGTAAATGTCTAGGTACAATAGTAGACAGCCTGCATTCATCAAAATTTGTTTTTGTAGTTGTTTGGACATGAGGAATATTCCCAAAAAACGGGAATTTCATCAAGCTCTTTTGGATGAAGGTATAGATGTGGTCTTGCTACAGGAAACGTTGCTTAATCCGGGAGATCGTTTAGCACTCCCGAATTATGATGTTATCCGAGGTTTGAATGGTCGAGGTGGCGGTTTAGCAGTGTTGATTAAGCGCGGTATAGACTATTATAGATGCACTAATGCGGAGATGCATAGCATCGAAGCAGCTTCTGTGGTGGTCAATGTGGAGGGAGGTGTCTCGTTGAAGATTACATCGGTGTATGTCAGGTGTCGTGCCAGGCTACAAGAGGCGGATCTGGAGGTCCTTTTGGACTGCTCGGGTCCGCTTATTGTGGCAGGGGACTTCAACTACAAACATCGAGCATGGAATTCTAGATTGAATTCCACTAGCGGGATTCGATTGTACAACCGAAATGGGTACCTTATACATAGCACTAGGTGTTTCCTCTTTTGGCTCTTCGGTATTATTTCATTATTTGATAATGTACTCGTAAAATGCAAACAATTAATAAAAAACGGACTTACCACTTATGTCTCAGCGCTTCACTTGGTTTGTGAAAGTTTATTGAATGTATTAAAAAAATCCACTTATAAATATTGACACATACATTGTTTTTCTTATAAAAAACCCACAACGCACTTTTTTGTACTTAAAGAAGGTGTTCAAAATGTCGTCCTCCACTTTCTACACAAGCCTCATTACGATGAACCCAGTTTCTTCTTACTCTAGATCCTCGAAGTTGTCCATTTATTATTTCAGCCGCATTAAACTTTTTTTCGCGAAATTGTGCTTCAGTTGTTATTGGACCAGCCCCATAAACCATCTCTTTAAGTTCTCCCCAATACCAGAAATCCATCGGATTGAGGTCAGGAGTTCTTGCTGGCCATTTTCAAGGATGAGGAGCATTTGGACCGATCCAGCGATTTGGATAATGTTCATTAAAAATACTGAATGACGCCTGTAAAAATGTGTGGTGGTGCCCCGTCATGAAGAAACCGCAAATTCTGTCTCCGTTGTAATGGCATGTTGTCTAAGGACTGTTCCAAAAGTTCTGGTAGGTTATTGGCTAGAAAGCTAAGGTATCCTTCTCCTGACAACTTTGGGGGTAACTCGAAAGGGCGAATTACCTGATCGTCAAGAATACCCGCCCATATATTTATTTTAAAACGTTGTTGGAAATAACCTTCACGAATGGTATGAGGATTTTCTTGGGCCCACGTGTTAGTATTATGGAAATTTAATATCACGTCTCGCGTAAAAGTACATTCGTCCGTCGCTAGAATGTTTTTAAAAAAATCCGGATTTTCAATGTTTTTGTGCAAAAACAACTGACAAAATGTTAGTCTACGAGGATAGTCTTCTGGTAACAATGCCTGCACTCGCTGAACATGGTAGGGATAAAGCAAATTTTCCCGTAGGATTCTATGGACTATGGTATGCGATAGTCCTACGCGGCGGCCTAATTCCCGGGTGCTGATATCTGCATTGATTTCCACGATATTTAAAATTTGTTCCTCCTGCTCTACAGTAACCTGTCTTTCACGAGTGCGAATATTAGTGGGCTGAACACTTCCTGTATCTCGAAGTCTTTGGTACACTTGCACAAATGTCCTTCTGTCTGGGTGTAAACGTTGGCAAAATCTGTCGCGATAAATTTGAGCTGCTAGATTTGAATTCTGACGAGCTACACCGTAAACTAACAACATGTCGGCGAACTCTTGATTCGAGAACATTGTAAATCAACCCGACGACGTACGCGAACAAAAACAAAACAGCATACTAACCACTGTTACCGTTTGCGATCGATTGCCGGTTCGATAAGAGTGATGATGACCGACGCGCTGTTGTCATGTGTGTTTTAAATATTCAATTTAACTTACTTACTGACTACAAATTTTGGATTAACCCAGAAAAGCTTAATGCCATTTATTTGTTAATTACCTAATTTAAAAACGGTTTAGATTAGATTATAAAAATTAGTAAGATTGTGGTGATTGTGGTCGATATAAAGCACTTAAAGTTTTAAACTATAAAGCCATTTAGACAAAAATCTATTGACTTTTGGATCATGGGTCATATGAACTTTTTGACTTGTTTTGACCCCCCTATTACCCATTTCAATAATGACTAACATAACGCTTACACCGTGTATATTAATAATATATGTTATTGCCAACCTTAAAATTTAAACCCTAATCTTCACATATTGTGTATTCTGAAGCAGGCTGATGTGACATTCGAGACATTTATAAAGTTAATTCTTTAATATTATGAGTGGCCTTAAAGACTGAATAGAAAAAAACATAGTCGCTAGTCATTCTCATAATATCATCAATAATTTGTTTTCTTAAAATTTCCAGAATCCATCAAGGCTGTGAACCCTATCGTTTCAAATCTTTCTGAACCTGAAGCCAAAGAATACATGGATGATTTCATGAAGGAGATAGTGGAACTGCCTACGGTTAAAATAGAAAAAATTAACAACAACCCAGAAACTATAACTATAAATTACAAGCTATTTATAGTCTATGCCTTGAGGCCAGATGAAGAATGAGGTATTGAAGTTCGTGGATTGGGTGTTTGTTATAACTATCGACTGAATTTAGGTACAAATATTGTTATTTCAATTTATAATATTAAATGCTAAGTATATTTTATAAAAGCTATGTAGACATGCAACTGTGAAAGACTGCAATTGATTCCTAGAATATTTAGATGTTTAGAAGCTAAGCTAATAGGGAGTGATTAAACACTATAAAATTATATAGATTATTCTAAAGAATACAAAATATCATATAATCAGATTTATCAACTGGATGAAAAGCATGTTCACGCATACGCAAAGAAATGGTAAAGAAATCGATAGGGTATTTTAAATTGTACCTTCAATTACAAATTTGGAAAATAAGTACAAAATGTTAGTGATTTTATAATAATGGAAAATGTGATAACCCTATTTTAGAATATATGTTTATATCTGATTATGAAATATAAGTTTATAGAGTAGCATGATATTGTTTAAAGAACCTGATAGAGGACTTCCAGTAAAACAAAAAATTAGCAACAACATAGTGAAATCTTTCGACAGAAGAGCAAGTCTGATCCCAGCTAAAACACTAATCTGTTTCTGAGTTCGTCTATATTGCTTGATGCGTTTTCTTTAGTCGCTGACCACAAATGTGCGAGAAGATTTACGCTATTGACAGAAAATCGTGGACTTTAAATTTGTACGATTATAAAAAAGTTAATCCAAATGACGTATGTTTCAGCTAGCTGAAAACAAATCAAGCATTGGATGTCAAAATACGACTGGAGCGCAAGCATAATATATTCAGGATCTTTCAGAAAATGAGGCAATATTTCTAAAGTACATCCAAAACTAACAAAAGAGTACCTATCAACATAATTATAAAATGTCCCATTACCAAGATACTTATATAGCTTATTTTCGAAGTAGAACAGCTTGAAGCTTCTTATACAGATTTAACCTCAAATATTCAAAACAGTTTCTCTCCAAAGGAAGAAGTCAGACAAAAATTTCTCAAGTTAGGAGATTCTTATATAATTAGATCATTCAAAAACGCAATAGATGTTTAAAAAAGTTGGAAAATCGATTTATCTCCTCTAAGTGCCAATATTACCATATTTCTTCGGCACTGGTGTAGTCTCAGGCACGAAAACTCTTGTATGTCTTGGCTATGATGTCAGTACTACCTGTACATAATTTTAAGTCAATTCTTGAGCCACGCCGAAGATATAATTTTTTCGTTTCAGAATTATAATTTCAACTCAATCTCGGTAAAGGGAAATTTTAGAACCCATACTTATATGAGTGTTTGGTGGTTTTTTAATCTACTTTATGCACAATAATTATTGCCACGTTTTGCTGAAAGACTCTGTATATATTGCGAGTCTGCTACATATATAGCCGTATCGCACTACCCCTTCCTGAGGAGATCTTGTCCTCATAGCTCCTCTGACATTAGTTCTACAACTATTGGGCGGTCGGCGTTCCATCTTCTGGGGGTATAATTCCGTTCCATATCTTTTTCGGTCATCTATCGTTCTGCATGCGGTCTAAGTGGCCGTACGATATTAGTCTCTTTTGTTCGATGGTGTCCATAATATCTCCTTCTACCCCTATGTTTTTTCTAATCTCCCCGTTCCTAATATGGTCCAGACTTGAAACCCCCTCACCAATTATCCATTTCAAGTCAAGTTTTGTCTTTCTCTCCGAGTACTAATGTGTCTACAGTGGTCTTATCTCTCTTTGTTTCGCTACTAATTTTCTGACTCCAGAGGGTCGGACTTAGTTACCTAATAACTAATCTGCTTTGCCCTATTTTATTGACTAAATATGTCATATCTGAACTCTTCCAATTTGCCGATAGAGCTGCACCTAGATATTTAAAAGAGGAAGTGTGTTTGATGGTAAAATTCCCAGCATTTAGGTTATGCTAATCGTCAGTACTAACTACTATATATTCTGCTTTTTTTATGTTAATTTTCAAACCCCAATTTGCTAAATTTATCTTCAGTAACTGAACAAGCATAATGTGGAATTGCAGGAAGCTACAGCTTCCAGTAGAATTCAGTTAATAGACGGTGGATACGTTTTTGAAACTAAAATGATTACCAAATCCAATTTTCGGAACATTTTCTTAATTTTGTTCTTATCTGCCGCTCTTCGTTCTTCAACAATTTGTTATCAGACACCAGTGATAACTAGCTTGACTGAGACTTGTCATTACATGTTGAGGCCTGTGCACTGCTTTCATACTTATCGCATGGACATTTTTTGTACTAATAATTCAGAAGATATTGCACCCTGCAAATTACATTGCAAAATGGCCACAAAACATTACCTTAGTTTCAAATGTCCAGATTGATTGCATTTCATTGTTACAATGCATGTTTTGTGGTTAGATCTGGACTTCTGATTAATAAAATTATGCAAAATATGTGATTGAATAATTAAAATTCAAGGTGGTCTCCGGGAGCGGGAAGTTTTGAGAATTTTGTTATTCCGTATCTATGCATAGTTGACAATGGATTATTTTTTGAAACTGTCACTGCATGCCATTTAGTAATTATGGAGCAGTGGTCTGGTGAGAAACGCGCATTTGTGACAAGTCCTACTATAAAAACAATAACTGTGCGGTTACCGCTTAGCGACATTTCCGACTTTATTTCCAAATTGGTCGACATGACAGAGTTCCTGCAGCTCGTGCTATAAAGGATGTAAGAAGGGTTTTAACAACATTGTCACATTTGCGAGCTTAAAAGTTTTTACGATTTTGTTGGAAAGAGAAAGCTATTTTAATATGGAGGTTGACCCAGGAGGGTTCAAAGAGGAAGCAGTACTACTCATAATGGGGAAGGAGCTGAGCGGCGAATCCCGTTCAAAAACTGAAAGCATGGGCCCATTGACGCAGATGTCATCGGAGCAGAAAACCAAAGAGAAACTGATGATGATTATAGACGACCAGGCGAGGCAAATCCGAGAACTCATGTAGACAATCAAGGACCAGACGGCTAAAACTGACAGCCTAACCGCCAGGTAACTCTTTTAGTAAGTTCGAAAAAATCCCGCAAAGAACGGACCAACAGCTTAAAGAGCCGCTACGGACCATTACCGACGATCAATATACATCCTCTTAAGATGATACACAGACCGACGGACTTATAAACGCAAAATCTAGAAGGAGGAGAAGCAACAAGACTGACCGACGCGCCGAGGACTTTCCACCTCTTACCGAATCCACTCTTTTACGCACCTCCCCCGCTTCATCAAAACAAAATATCAGTAACACTATGTCTACTACCAAACCCCTGTCATCGGTTGGCGAAGGGACTACACTATCTACCTCTAAGGTCACTCCGTCGGCCAATGTCACTTCTACTCAGCCATCTCGCTCAGACGACGTGGCATCAAGCCAAACTTCACGCCAAAGGCGCGTAAAGCCTATTGTTCTGCATGATGGGGCGAGATGGCGTAAGTTAAACTACAAATTCATTTCCCTAGGCATTAAAATAGATCGCGCGGTTGCTGTCGATGCGGGAATAAGTATTATTCCTAAATCTGAGGAAGACTATCGTAAGATCGTTGGACTGTTACAAGAGGAAGAAGTGCCCCTTCATACTTTTCCTCTCCCTTTGGAACGGAACATCCACGCGGTGGTTCGAGGAGTTCCTGTCAACTTTTCGGATTCTGAGATTAAACAAGAACTTGAACAGAGAGGATATAGCCCTCTCCATATTATTCGATTGAGGCTCAGTGGCGGCGCGCCCATGCCTTTGGTCGTGCTCCTGCCCAAGAGTGAAAAGTCCCAGCAAGTATTCAATCAACACGATTTGCTGGGACTGGCCATTCGAGTTGAGGTTCAGAAGAACTCCAGACTCATTGGGCAGTGCCACCGCTGCCAAAAGTACGGGCGTGCGCATTCATACTGTATTGCACCACCACCACCACCCAAATTGCATAAAATGTGCAAATGACCACATGACGCATTTGAGCCCCCTCACAGGACAAGAAGAGCGCCGGTATGCAAACTGTGGAGAAGGCCGTCCCGCAAACAGCCCGATTTGTAAGTTCACTCCAAGGAAGAATTTGCAAGTTATAGCGCAAAGGAGCAACCTGTCATAGTTATGCGGATGCAGCTAGGGAAGCAACCTTGTCTGCCCCCTCTGCCCAATCTCTCTTGCACGCGCAAAATGTGGACCTGGCAACCGCACGAAGGTCCTTACAACAAATAATAAGTCCTTTGATTAGCGCTACTCAAGCTTTGTAGGCGACCTTTCCTGTAAATGGCTAGGTACAATAGTAGACAGCCTGTATTTCTCAAAATTCTTTTTTGGGATTGTTTGGGCCTAAAGTACATTCCAAAAAAACGGAAACTTCATCAAGCTCTTTTAGATGACGGTATAGATGTTGTCTTGCTGCAGGAAACGTTGCTTAATCGTCTAGATCTCCCGAATTACGAGGTTATCCGTGCTGATAGGTCGAGGTGGCAGTTTAGCAGTGCGGATTAAACGCGGTATTGACTATTATAGAGGCACGAATGCAGAGATGCATAGCATCGAAGCAGCTTCTGTGGTGGTCAATATGGCGGGAGGTGTCCCGTTGAAGATCACATCGGTGTATGTCAGGTGTGATGCCAGGCTACAAGAGACGAATCTGGAAGTCCTTATGGACTAGTCCGGTTCACTCATTGTGGCAGGTGACTTCAACTGCAAACATCAAGCATGGAATTCCAGGTTGAATTCCACTAGTGAGATTCGACTGTAAAACCATGTGATACCAAATGGGAACCTTATACGAGTACATAGCACTGAAAAGCCGACACACCGTCCATTCAACCACCTTCAGACACCAGATGTTATTAACTTCGCGATATCAAAAAACTGTAGATACAGTATCTCTTCTAGGATCTTGTATAATATCTCTAGTGATCATCTACCTCTTGTCTTGGATGTAGGCAATGAGCAAACTTTTGAGGAGGAAGCTCCTCCAAGAAAACGTATTGATTGGGAGATATACAAGTTGTTCGTTAGAGACTTTCCCAATTTCCCGATCATAGATGATGAGACTGGAATAGATGCCGCTCAAGCGGAGTGGACAAGTTTCATTCACACATGTCTACAACGTACAGCTGTACTTCCTGTACAACTACACGGCAGACCTTTGCCTGCGGAAATTCGGCAGAAAATCTCTGACAAGAGAGCCGCTATCAAGCAGTCAAAAAGATCTTGCCATCCTGATGACATTCGTAGGGCTACGAATCTAGTCCATGAAGTGAGAAACGCGCTCCATGAATTCCGTAATGAGCAATGGAGCGACTTTCTGGCGGGAATGCTTGATTCAAGTATTCTTCTCTGGCGGGTCGCAAAGTCACTCAAAAACGGAAAGCGAGGACAACTTCCGCACATCCACGGTCCTGAAGGCATAGTCTTCAGAACCGATGATAAGGGCGAGGTTTTCGCTGACGCCATGGAAAAACAGTTCT